TCTGTATTGCTATTTGAAATTTGTCTACAAAATTTGGTTCAATTCGGAATCGGTTTGACATGATTCAGACGCTTAAAAGTGATTGTAGAGTTCTTGAGTTCCATTTTGAAATTTTGTTCGTTTTGAGGTTTGATTTGTAGATTTAGATATTATTTTGGTGATTTGAATGCGGGGGCAAGTTCGTATGATGTTATTACACTTGTTTGCATGTTTGGTTTCGAGCCCGAGGGGCTCGGGTGAGTTTTGAACGTGTTTCGGATGAGTTTGGCTAATGCTAGGATTGCTGGTGCACTTCTGTTGCTGGTGCTTTGTTGCAGATATAGCATTTGCGAGGTTTGGCTCGCAATTACGAACCTCGCCTTTGCGAACAAGAGTTTGCATTTGCGAGCATGGTCTAGGTTTGTGAGAATGTGTTCGCATTTGCAAACTATGGACCTTCGCTTTTGTGAAGGAAGTGGTCGCAATTGCGATCTCTGACCACTGGAGTCTGCTTTGCATTTCGAAGTTTATGGTCGCATTTGCGAAGGCTAGAAGTTCACATTTGCAACTTCTGTGGCTCTGAGACAGGGTTCGCATTTGCGACACTTGTCTTGCATTTGTGATGTTCGCAATTGCAAATAAGACATCGCAATCCGCAGTTGGATAAAAGAGGGAGAAAAGGGGAATTAACTCATTTCTCACAATTTCTCAACCCTAAACACCCCAGAGGCGATTTTTCAAGAGACTTTTCTTCCTAAATTCATTGGTAAATGACTTTAATCTTTTTCTTTTTAATTACCCATTTCATTTCATGAGATTTCAACATCAAATTTAGGATTTTCATGGTAGAAATTAGGGATTTGGGTAGAATTGGAAATTCTTATAAAATTGAGATTTAGACCACGAATTGAGATCGGATTTCGAAACAAATTACATAATTGGGCTCGGGGGTGAATGGGTAATCAGATTTTGGTCCGAATCTCAATTTTAACCAAGCGAGCCCGGGGTTGACTTTTTCAAAATAATCTAAATTAAACTTCTTTTATTAGTGGGTAGCTTCTAAAGCTTATTTTGAATCATTTGGTCAATAATTTGCTAGATTTGTTTGGTTTGGAGGCTTGTTCAAAAGGCAAGGCCATGATTGATTGATTGTTTGAGTTGCGGAGTGAGAAAAGTATTGGGTCTAACATTGATTTAAGGGAATTAGGAACTCTTGAACTACATATTATGTGAATTACGCGTGAAACGGCGTATATGCGAGGTGACGAGTGTATATGCACCGTTACGTTACTTGCTTCCATGTTTTTGTTACTTCGTTTCATGCCTTAATTATTACATGCTTATTTGACCTTCAAACCATAATTGCTACTTGTCATTCAGTTATCTTTGTATTAAATTGTCCATCCTTTCCATGATTCTATGCTTATTTGCTATATGTCTCCACTTGCTTTACTTGCATACTTAAATTGCCATATGTCTTACTTGTCTTATAGTTTCGTAGAAATTGTTGCTTTCTATAACGTAGTTTCACTGGTATGAATTGTAAATTGGTAGACATCGATGAGTTGGTAAAGCTAAGATATTCGAAGTGTTAGAGAGTCTTGGATTATTATGTGATTCTTCATTGCTTCGTACATTACTCTCTTGATGTAGAAATTCTTGTAAATATTGGTTGTTGAATTGCTATTGTTTATTCAATTGTTTTGGGAGCGGGTTGCACGCTGCAATGGAAATTGAAAGGTAATGAATTGAAATGGTGGAATAAGGACGGATATGGTATTGATAGATGATGATATGATGGGATCGGGTTGCGCGCTGCAACAGATTGTATAAGTTGTATTTATTTGTGACTGTTGGATTTGCCTGGGTATTTGAGTTGAGTTTATAAGACTTGTTATTTTGGGCTCTCTGGTAGTTAGATTTTTGAGTTCGTTGTTATGAGATAACATCTTTATTTCCTTTTCTGTCTTTTTTGTTATTGCGTACAGGTTATCGTAAGCGACCCGCCTTAGCCTCGTCACTACTTCGTCGAGGTTAGGCTCGGTACTTACAGAGTACATGGGGTCGATTGTACTCATACTACACTCTGCACTTCTTGTGCAGATACCAGAGTTAGTTCCAGCTGCACTGAGTGAGGTTTGCTCGGATCTAGCTATCAGTGGAGACTTGAGGTATAGCTGCACGATGTCCGCAGCCCTGAAGTGCCTTTCTACATTATTTTAGATGTTTATTTTAATTCATACAGTTGTGTTTATTTCAGACCATTATCTCTAGTACTCTAGATGCTCATGTATTCGTGACACCGGTTCTGGTGTATTTGAATTTCGTCGTTTATTAGTTTATCACCGTATTTCAGACTATTCAGTTTTATTATTGTCATTTAATTTGGAAATTATTAAATATGATTAATAAGTATAGCTAATGTTGGCTTGCCTAACAAATAAAATGTTAGGCGCCATCACGACCCCGAGGTTGGGATTCCGGTCGTGACAACAGAAGATTGAAAAACTAAAAAGAAAGCCAGGGCATCTGGTGGATGAAGTCTACCCCCAAAGAGAACCTAAAAGATGGGATGGGTGATCCATAAGATCATTTGGCGAGGTTCATCCCTCAGCGTGGTGATCTTTCTGGAAATAAAAACTTGTTGCTACATCTATATGGCAAGCCCTCGTCGTCTTCGTCTCTCATTGTATTCGCCTTCTTTATATGGCAAGCGCAACGTACTTTCTATGAGAGCCGTTTTTTGCTTTATTTGCAGGATTTCATTATTGGGTAGGATTTAAATAAAGTCCAAGGAGGTATGATCCCAATAAAGATAGGATGGATTGTCAGTAAAGTCACACTATAAGAGAAAACAGCGCAATCAAAGTAGCCCTTTCTATACAAGGTGGACGGAGCACTAAGAGAAAGCATTATCACTATACGAAATGAAGCAGCAGCTTGCACGCTAAGATCAACCAATGTTCAAACGTGGAGCCTTTCTTTCTCGGTCATATGTCTTAATAAGTGGATGCATTGGTCTTTCCACTCGCCACACTCCAACATAACCAAATTAAATTCGAATTTAGATCTTATGGTGGGTTGAATCTTTAGAGATGGGTGGGTCATATAATTTGATATGGGGTTAACGAAAGGCATTTTAAACCACATCTTATAAATCAAGACAATTTTGGCTCTTTTTCGTTTTGTTTCAAATGATCTAAGTATTAGTAGTTTTTAAGATATTTTTGAGCCAAAGAAAATCATGGGAAGCATTTTTGGTCAAATAGGTTAACTGAATATTTTTATACCAAATTCAATAGATCTGCACAATTTTGACATAATGTAAGTTCAACATTACATAAGTAAAAATAAATGGGTGCGTAAATACACTCTCGATGTTCACATAAATTCTTATAATGATATGGTGGTATACTAGGTGGGATATCATATGGGCTGAGCTATTTTATCGAATTAGATAATCCATCTTCTATATACAAGTATAGTTTTTTTTTGGTTTCTCATCCGGTGTGATATGGTGGTATACTAGGTGGGATATCATATGGGCTGAGCTATTTTATCGAATTAGATAATCCATCTTCTATATACAAGTATAGTTTTTTTTTTGGTTTCTCATCCGGTGTCCGGTACCCACATTGGGATCCGACTAAATCCGGATTCGCGCTGGGAAGTCCCACATTGGGGGTAAAGCGCTCCCTAACAAAGGCGACCCAGGGGCTTGAACTCGAGACCTCTGGTTAAGGATGAAGGAGTACTTACCACTCCACCACAACCCTTGTTGATAAAGTATAGTTATCATATAGTATAATATAAAATTTATCCCACCATGAATTAATATCCGTAATAAAACACGGATAAATATAATCTCATTGTATTAAAGAATGAGCATATAAATTCGGAATTCATTTATTAGAGCCGTCAATATGGGCTTGGCCCGTTGGGCCGGCCCAGCCCAGCCCATGATTTAGCAGGCTGGGCTAGAATTTTTTGAGCCCATTTAAAAACGAGGCTTTTAAGCTCGGCCTGAGTAAGCCCGTGGCCCGTGAGGCTTGACTGAGGTTGGGCCGGGCCGGCCCATGGGCCTAATAAAAATACGTATTTAAAATATATAAAATATAAAAAGTATGACACGAAAATAACAAGAAGAGTATCCCAAGCTTAAAGTTTATTAAGCTCATCATATTAAAAGATCAAAGTCTTAAAACGTTAATTAGTTTTAAAAATTTGTAATTATTCTTAATATTTAACTAATTAATATTGCAAACGAATTGTAGATGTAGATGAAAGTGAAGATGTTAAGACCACCTTCTCACAAGCGGATTCAAATGTATTTGATGAAGATAATGTGTTGGATATCCCATTAAGTGTCATGGACGTTCTCTTGAATAGTTTGTTTTGAGTTTTGACTTTTAGTGAATGAAATAATCTTGTCTTTTACTTTTTTTAGTGTTTATTACTCCCTCCGTTCCAATTTATGTGAACCTATTTGACTGGATACGAGTTTAAGAAAAAAAGAAGACTTTTGAAATTTGTGGTTCTAAACAAGTCAAAAAAGAGTCCAGAGTATTTGTGTTGTTATAAAAGTTTCTCATTAAGGGTAAAATTGAAAGTTTAAGCTAAATTATTTCCAAATTAAGAAAGGGGTCATTCTTTTTGAAACGGACCAAAAAGAAAATAGGTTTACATAAACTGGAACGGACGGAGTATAATATATTGGAACAATATAAAAAGTTATAAAGTTTTGTGAAACTTTTTCAATAAGATTTTTTTAACTTTTAAATATTTATCTTTTTTTAGGTAGAACTTAAAAAAAAAATATAAAAATTATATTTAAAAAAATAATGGGCCGGCCCGAGAGGCCCGCAGCCCACATAAGGCTAGAGTGGGCAGACAATTATAAGGCCCATCAAAATAGTAGGCTAACCCCCCAACCTGTCAATAGCTAAAGCTCACGGGATTGCCCGCCCATATTGACAGCTCAATCATTTATGTATTATTCCGTCAATATATATAGTGGAGTATTATTTTTCTCAATGGATCACACCGTTATTTGAATACTAATGTTTTTGGGCATCCCATAATTATAGCACCTGCTAAATTCGGCATCCATTTTCCCAGAATGGGGAGTATTTCTTAAATCGGAGGTGTAGCAGCAATGATTACATCTTTAACCTGAGGAGTTGTTCTCTCCTTCTTATTGATAGCACATTGGTCTCGGCCCAGTTCACTCTTTCTGCTGCGTTCCGAGGAAAGAAGTCGAATTTTGTTGTATGTATATATGTACTTTATATTTTGGTTGTAAATATTGCTTCGTACTAAGGTACCACCATGGAAACAGACGCGGCCAAGCTCCGCTCTCACTTCCTTCATGTCCTTCGTAGACGTCGTCCTTCTCAAGGTATTCTTTTTGCTGTTTTTTTTTAAATTATCTTGTTAACGAATGGATTCAACGTCAATTTGAACTTTGCTGCTAAATTGAATGTCAAATTTTAATTTTTTTTCCCCATTAAATATTTATGTTTTTAAGTTAATTGAGTGCAAACTAATCACTTCCACTCCTTTCCCAGGAGTGTTGCTTGGTTAGGGGGGTGGGGACCTAAGGAAACATGAAAAATGGTTTAATTTTATTTTTAGATATGTCGTGTTATACTTTCTCCTTCTTATGTATGGCAATACTTTATCATTTATATGGATGTGGATCCAGGATTTGAACATTATAGTGTTTGAGTTCGTAATTTTGCCACAACCCATTTGATTTACTGGGTTCAAAATTTATTATTTATATTTAGTGGATTTTTTAAGACATTTATAGTGTCCGAGCCAAGGTTATTAGGTTGGCATTTACATATAGCTTTCCAAAGTTTAAATTTTTTTGTTTTGATGGAATATTTTCTCTGTTAAATTAACTTTTCACCCCTTACTTTCATATTCTTCCTACTATACGCTAACTAATTATTTATTTAAGTTAAGTACGTACCTAACGTAACGAACTACTTTACTTAACTTACCTAAACTTTAAAAACGTTTTTACGTACTAATTAGTCCGTCGGTAGGTAGGTAAGGGGAAAGGGTAAAGTTAAAGTTTAGTTTAAT